TTTCAATTTCTCGATTTTTCCACTTTTGGATTTTTCCGTTTATCGAATTTTTGTTTTGGATTTTCTGCTTTATCAATTTTTTGATTTCGATTTCTCAGATTTTCAAATTCCCGATTTTTGGACTTTGATTTTTCGACTTTCTCATTTTTAGATTTTTTTGTTTTTCGGTTTTTCGATTTTTTTCTACGTTTTGATTTTTCGGTTGACGGGCTTTTCGACTTTTTGATTTTTCGAATTTTCAGTATTTCGATTTCTAGATTTTTCAATTTAGACTTTCCAAATTCTTGAAGTTTCGACATTCAGATTTCTCGATTTTTGGACTTTTCTTTTTTATCAGTCTAATTCTACGATTTTTCGATTTTTGGATTGTTCAATTTTTCGATTTGTCATTTTCGAATTTTTCCACTTGTGAAATCTCGAATCTCGTTTTGGATTTTTTGATTTATTGATTTTTGGAGTTTTCAAATTTTCGGTTTTGATTCTAGGATTTTTCGATTTTTGGTTGTTCAATTCTTCGACTTTTCGATTTCTGGATTTTTCGATTTATCTATTTTTGGATTTTTCGACTTTTCGATTAGTAATTTATGAATTTTTCGATATTTGGAAATCTCCATTTTTAGAGTTTTTGATTTTTCGAAATTTCAATTTTTGGATTTATCGGCCTTTTGGATTTTTCAGTTTCTTAATGTTTCGACTTCAAGATTTTTCAATTTTCCGAGTTTTCGACTTCCATTTGTATTTCTCGATTTTACGACTTCAATTTTTCAATTTCTCAATTTTTCGACTTTACGCTTTCTCAATTTTCCGTTTTACCTATTTTTAGACTTTCACTTTTCAACCTTTCCACTTTACGATTTTTTAAATTTTTCGAATTTTCGTTTTTTTTTTCGATTTTTGGACTTATCATTTATTCGATTTATCGAGTTTTGGATTTTTCGAAATTTAGATTTTTGGATTTCTCTTTTTACGACTTCGATTCTACGATTTTTCTATTTTGAATTGATCTATTCTTCAACTTTTCGGTTTTTCGATTTCAGTCCATTCGAATTTTCGATTTGTGATGTTAATTTTTCGATTTTTTGAAATTTCAAATTTTCGAGTTTTGGATTTTTTGATTTTTTCAAAATTTCAATTTCTCGATTTTTCGACTTCTATTTTTCAATTTCTTAATTTTTTGACTTTACGATTTCTCAATTTTCCGTTTTACCGATTTTTAGACTTTCATTTTTCAACCTTTCCACTTTCCGATTTTTAAAATTTTCGGTTCTTCTATTTTTCGATTTATCGAGTTTCGAATTTTCGAAATTTATATTTTTGGATTTCTCTTTTTATGACTTCGATTCTACGATTTTTCGATTTTGAATTGATCTATTCTTCAACTTTTCGGATTTTGTATTGTTCAATTTTTCGACTTTTCGATTTTTGGATTTTTCGACTTTGTGATCTGTGATTTTTGAAGTTTTCGACTTTTCGAAATCTCGAATCTCGTTTTGGATTGTTTGATTTATCGATTTTTGGAGTTTTCAAATTTCCGATTTCTCGATTTTTGATTTCTCTTTTTTCCGACTTTGATTCTAGGACTTCTCGATCTTTAGATTCTTCACTTTTTCGATTTTTCGATTTTTGGTTTTTTGGCTTAGTCTATACCTATATTCTTGTGTTCTTCGACTTTTCGATTGGTACATTTTTAATTGTTCGATATTCCGAAATCTCCATTTTCCGATTTTTGGATATTTCGACTTCGATTTTGAATTTTTGGAATTTTTGACTTCGCTTATCGACTTTACGATTTTTGGATTTTTCCATTTTTACATTGTTCAATTTGTTGATATTTCGACTCTCAGATTTCTCTGTTTTTCAAGATTTTCGGATTACTCCATTTTTCGATATTTCGAGTTTTCATTTTTCGATCTTTTCGATTTTTTTATTTTTTCACTACTCGATTTTTCCAGTTTTTGATTCTTCGATTTTTCCTTTTCTCGATTTTCCGACCCCGATTTTTCGATTTCTCAATTTACGACTTTTCCACTTTTCCAAAAGGTTTTTGGATTTATTGACTCTTCGATTTTTGGAATTTTCGTTTCTCCTCTTTCTCGATTTTCGGATTTCTCTTTTATACTTCGTTTTTCCCAATTTTCGACTTTTCCGATTCCCGATTTTTCACCTTTCCGATTTATAGATTTTTAGATTTTTACATTTAATTTTGGATTTTTGGAATTTTTGACTTCGTTATTCGACTTTTCGAGTTTTGGATTTTTCGATATTTCGAATTTAAAATTTTTCGACCCCGATTTTTCAATTTCTTGATGTTTCGACTCCCATATTTCTAACTTCGATTTTTTTACTTTTCCACTTTTCGATTTCTAAATGTTTCAATTTTTGGATTTTTCTAGTTCTGGATTTTTCAAGACATTTGGATGCTCCATTTTTTGATTTTTGGGCTTTATATTTTTGATTTTTCGATTTCTCGATTTTTCGACTTTTCGATTAATATATTTTTCGATTTTTGGATTTATCCATTTTTCCGGTTTTGAATTTTCAAATTCTCGATTTTTCGACTTTTGGATTTTTCTGTTTATTGAATTTTTGTTTTGGATTTTCTGCTTTATCAATTTTTTGATTTTTCAAATTTTCGATATTATTTTTTGACTTCGATTTCTCAGATTTTCAAATTCCCGATTTTTAGCCTTTGATTTTTCGACTTTCTCATTTTTCGATTTTTTGTTTCTTCGGTTTTTCGATTTTTTTCTACTTTTTGATTTTTCGGTTGACGGGCTTTTGCTTTTTGATTTTGGATTTTTTTGATTTTTCGAATTTTCAGTATTTCGATTTCTAGATTTTTCATTTTAGACTTTTCAATTTCTTGAAGTTTCGACTTTCAGATTTCTCGATTTTTAGTTGTTCAATTTTTCGACTTTTCGATTTCTGGATTTTTTGATTGATTTATTTTTGAATTTTTCGACTTTTCGATTGGTAATTTATGAATTTTTCGATATTTCGAAATCTCCATTTTTAGAGTTTTGGATTTTTCGAAATTTCAATTTTTGGATTTATCGGCCTTCTGGAGTTTTCAGTTTCTTGATGTTTCGACTTCAAGAGTTTTCAATTTTTCGATTTTTTTTTTGAGCTTTCGATTTGTCGATTTTTGGATTTTTCGACTGTCCATTTTTGGATTTCTCTTTTATACGAATTCGATTCTACGATCTTTCGATTTTTTGATTTTTCGGTTTTTGGATTTCTCAGTCCATTCGAATTTTCGATTTTTGGGTTTTTGCGTTTTCCGATTTGTGATGTTAATTTTTAAATTTTTTGAAATTTCAAATTTTTGAGTTTTGAATTTTCTGATCCACCGATTTTTGATTTTTTCAAAATTTCGATTTCTCGATTTTTCGACTTCCATTTTTCAATTTCTTAATTTTTCGACTTACGATTTCTCAATTTTCCGTTTTACCGATTTTTAGACTCTCATTTTTCAACCTTTCCACTTTCAGATTTTAAAAAATTTTTGAATTTTCGGTTTTTCTATTTTTCGATTGGCCGATTTTTCGAAATTTAGATTTTTGGATTTCTCTTTTTACGACGTCGATTCTACGATTTTTCGATTTTGAATTGATCTATTCTTCAAGTTTTCGGTTTTTGGATTGTTCAATTTTTCGACTTTTGGATTTTTCGACTTTCCGATATGTGATTTTTGAATTTTTCGACTTTTCGAATCTCGTTTTGGATTTTTTGATTTATCGATTTTTGGAGTTTTCAAATTTCCGATTTATCGATTTTTAGATTCTTCAGTTTTTCGACTTTTCAATTTTTGGATTTTTCGCTTAATCTACACCTATATTTTTGTGTTTCTCGACTTTTCGATCGGTAATTTTTTAATTGTTCGATATTTCAAAATCTCCATTTTTCGAATTTTGAATTCTTCGAAATTTCAATTTTTGGATTTTTCGACTTTTCGATATTTCAGTTTCTAGATTTGTCAATTCAGATCTCGACTTACAGATTTTTCAATTTTTCGACTTCGACTTTTCGACTTTGAGTTTTTTGTCGATTTTTGGATTTTTCGATTATCCATTTTTGAATTTCTCTTTTTTACGATTTTGATTCTACGATCTTTCGATTTTTGGATTTATCAATTCTCGACTTTTCGATTTTTGGATTTCTCAGTTTATTCGAGTCTTCGATTTTTGGATATTTCGCCTTTCCGATTTTTGATTTTTGAATTTTTCGAAATTTCGAATTTTCGAGTTTTAGATTTTTTGATCAATCGATTTTTGGATTTTTCAAAATTTCTCGAGTTTGCGACTTTGCGATTTTCGATTTTTCCACTTTTCATTTTTTAGATTTTTTGATTTTTACTTTTCGCTTTCTCGCCTTTACGATTTTTCAATTTTTCGACTTGAAATTTTCCGATATTTCAATTTTCCGATTTAAAACTTTGGAACGTAATTAAATAATTAAGCTTTCAATTCAATTTTTAATTTTATTTTACATTTTTTTTTCAGTTTTTCGATTTTCAGTTACATACACACTTTTACGACTCCATCTGTTTGGTAACCGAGTATATTTTTCTCCCAGTGTAAATTTTGAAAAAATAAGGGAAAATCAAGTGAGGTTAAAACGCTGGAATTTTTTTTTTTTATATCAAAAAAGTTGTCACTTGCATAATGTCATGGCTCTCAACCGTATTGAATAAAAACCCCAGGCACGGTAGTGTAACCAATCGTATGTTCTGTGCCAACCGTACTTAATAGCTGCCACTTTCGGTATAAATTTTGTAATATTGTCGTGTTCAAGGTATTTTTTCGGACTTGAGGAAAAAGTGGACGCAAAACTTGAACGTAATTCAAATAAATGTCAGATTTCATTGCCGCCAACCGTATCGAACAAAAATCCCAAACAGCGGTGTGACTAACCTCACTTTTTACAATGTTGATAGAAACGGCAATAAACAAACTTAGGTAAAACAGTTTTGGCATTTCCTCTCCACAAACAACACCAACTAAAAATATAAAATTTATTGCGCTAGTTTTAATACAAGTATATAAATGCATCCTTACATACATTATGGCAGTTTCTCTTGGCAACTTAAAACATAAATAACAGCTAACGCTCGCCTCAACAGCAACATTGCCCTTAATTTCAACTAATTCAGACTTGTCAATAATTGAGATTTTAAATACAGCTCGAAAAACAGGAACTTCGTTAAAATTAAAACAATACGATGCGATCACAGTCATTTTCAAAAAACTATCGACCCCTAACTAACAACCACCTCCTCGTACCTCTCGTACACCTTCTGCAGCTGCTTCAAAGACCCCAACATATTCGCCTGAGTCCCCAAGCACATAGTTTTTTGCGCAGCGTCTAAATTAATATCACATTCGATGGAGTGATAGACGTGGATCAAATTAGGATCGACGCTCCTCACGATCCTCAAGCTCGACTTGATCGCGTTGTCGTAGAAGGTGACGTCCTCGAACCCCCACCCGGATATCAGCAAGTTCAACCCCCCCAAACCCACGTAGTCACTTTTGTACAAACTCACGATCCCGAACCCGAACTGCCGCCAGAAACCGCTGTCTTCGTCTACGATATCGTCGGTGAAAAATGAGTAATTATCGGGGTACGTCCTGTTCAGGAGTCGAGGATTGTACAGGCTATACACTATGGGGAAATAGACACTTTTTTCCTTGACGGTGTTCTGGCGGACGCGCTGGAGGCTGCGGGGGTGGAAGATCATGTCCACGTCCATGAAGAGCACCAGGTCGTCGCCGCTGAGGAGGCTCAAGCCGCGCTCGAGGGCCCGGGCTCTGGAGAAGGTCTCGTTGGTGTAGATGGCGACGACGGCGTCGCTGCCGTAGGTGCGTTGGACGTCTTCGATGAGGGCGCCGCTGCGCAGGAAGTCCGAGGATCGGTCGTTCTGGTAGAGGACGACGAAGAGTTTGGCTTCTTCTTGGCGTTTGAGGCAGACGTCTTCGTACATCTTGAGGAAGCGGCGGAAGATTTTGTAGCGGCCGCTGAGGGGGAGGACGAAGTTGATGACTTCTTGTTTTTTGGGCGGGCTGGGGTGGAGGATGGGGGGGATTTGTTCGAAGGTGGAGACCAAGTGCTTGACGAGCTTCTGGTGGACGGGGATGGCTGCTGTGGTGGATGAGCGTTGAGACATGTAGGGGAAGTCGTAGTTTTTTACTTCTCGGATGGAGATTTCTGTAGAGACATAATAAAGGAATTTTTATACATCGTACAGACATTTTAATTAAAACTATATTCTGTTTACCGAACTGATGGAGTAGTAAAATCGTTAAATTGAAGAAGCTGAAAATTAAAAATCGAAAAATTTAAATGAAAAGTTGAAAAGTTCGAAAGCTGAAAAGATCGATACATTGAGCCAGATCGAAAAAGTTGACAATCAAAAAATCCAAAAATAGAAGAAGTCAAGTCGAAAAATTGAAAAATCGAAGTCGAAAAGTCGAAATATCAAAAAATTGAAAAATCGAAAGTTTGAATAATCGATCGATAAATCGAGAAATCCAAAAATAAAGAAGTTCAACATTTGACAAATCGGAAAGTCAAAAAATCGAAAAATCCAAAAATCGAAAACAAGAAAAATGGAAAAATCTGAACAACGAAATCGAAAAATCCGAAAACCGAAAAATTCAAAAATCGCAATCGAAAAATCCAAAAATCAAATATTCGAAAAATTGAAAAGTTCAAAAGTCGATAAATCGAAAAAACGAAACCAAAAGATCCAAAAATCGAAGTCGAAAAGACGATCAAAACACTGAAAAGTCAAAAAGACGAAAACTCGAATATTTGAAGAATCCATCGATAAATCAAGAAATCCAAAAATAGAAAAAGTCAAGTCGAAAAATTGAAAAATCGAAGTCGAAAAGTCGAAATATCAAAGAATTGAAAAATCGAAAATTTGAATCGATCGACAAATCGAGAAATCCAAAAATAAAGAAGTCGAACATTTGACAAATCGGAAAGTCAAAAAATCGAAAAATCCAAAAATCGGAAACAAGAAAAATGGAAAAATCTGAACAACGAAATCGAAAAATCCGAAAACCGAAAAATTCAAAAATCGCAATCGAAAAATCCAAAAATCAAATATTCGAAAAATTGAAAAGTTCAAAAGTCGATAAATCGAAAAAACGAAACCAAAAAATCCAAAAATCGAAGTCGTAAAGACGATAAAAAAAGTGAAAAGTCAAAAAAACGAAAAATCGAATATTTGAAGAATCCATCGATAAATCAAGAAATCCAAAAATAGAAAAAGTCAAGTCGAAAAATTGAAAAATCGAAGTCGAAAAGTCGAAATATCAAAAAAATTGAAAAATCGAATATTTGAATCGATCGATAAATCGAGAAATCCAAAAATAAAGAAGTCGAACATTTGAGAAATCGGAAAGTCAAAAAATCGAAAAATCCAAAAATTGAAAACAAGAAAAATGGAAAAATCTGAACAACGAAACCGAAAAATCCGAAAACCGAAAAATTCAAAAAACGCAATCGAAAAATCCAAAAATCAAACATTCGAAAAATTGAAAAGTTCAAAAGTCGATAAATCGAAAAAACGAAACCAAAAAATCCAAAAATCGAAGTCGAAAAGACGATCAAAACACTGAAAAGTCAAAAAAAAACGAAAAATCGAATATTTGAAGAATCCATCGATAAATCAAGAAATACAAAAATAGAAAAAGTCAAGTCGAAAAATTGAAAAATCGAAGTCGAAAAGTCGAAATATCAAAAAATTGAAAAATCGAAAATTTTAATCGATCGATAAATCGAGAAATCCAAAAATAAAGAAGTCGAACATTTGACAAATCGGAAAGTCAAAATCGAGAAATCGTAAAAAGGAAGTCGAAAAATCTAAAAATTAAAAGTTTAAAAATCGAAAAATGGTTAAGCGGAAAAATCCAAAAATAAATAAATTGAAAAATTCAAAAATCGAAAAATTGAAAATTCGAAGAATCGATCGAGAAAACCAAAAATCTAAAAATCCAAGTCGAAAATTCAATAAGCAGAAAAATCCCTCGAAAAATTCAAAAATCAAAAAACCGAAAACCGAAAATTTTAAAAATGACAGTCGAAAAATCAAAAAATTGAAAAATCGAAAGATCCAAAAATCGAACACTCGAAAAAAGCTCAAAAATCGATAAATCCAAGTCGAAGAAACGAAACCAAAAAATCTAAAAATCGAAGTCGAAATATCCAAAAATTGAAAAAAAAAAACAAAAAATCGAAAATTTGAAGAATCCAAGAAATCCAAAAAGTTGAAAAATTCAAAAATTGAATACTCGAAAAATTTAAAAGTTCACAAATCGAAAAATCGACAAGCCGAAAAATCCAAAAATAACAAAATTGAAAAATTCAAAAATCGAAGTCGAGAAGTTGAAACATCAAAAAATTCAAAAATCGAAAAATTGAAAATTCGAAGATGAATCGTGTTAGAGCCTCTGGCGGGGACCTGTTTCACCCCTCCTCACCCGTAAGGGTGGGAGCCAGAGCCACCCCCACCTTGGAACACAGGGTAGCATTCATTCTTAATTCTTAACTCATTCATACACATTCAATTCACAATTCTCAATTCGTAACTAACAATCAACTATCTCGACCGCACGGTCATATACTACTCTATTCTTATCATTCTTATTTATCCTAACACTTGTCACTAGCAATATATTTATCTTACTGTTCGCTGGTCTTTATTCATTTATACAAACTTCGACAAATCGAGAAATCCAAAAAAACAAAAATCGAGAAATCTATAAGCCGAAAAATCCTCCGAAAAATCAAAAATAGAAAACAAGAAAAATCGAAAAAACGAAACCGAAAAATTCAAAAATCGAAGTCGGAAGTCGAAATATCAAAAAATTGGAAAATCGAGAAGCACATTTGAGTTAAAAAATCGAAAAATAAAAAAAAAAATGGAAAAAAAAAGAAAGTCGAATAATCTAAAAATCGAGAAATCGAAAATTTGAAGAATCGATGGATTATTCGAAAAATCCAAAAATAAGAAGCCGAATATTCGAACAATTAAGAAATCGCAAAGTCAAAAAATCGAGACATCAAAAAAAAAACAAAGTCGGAAAATCCAAAAGTCGGAAAGTCCAAAAATCGGGAAATCGAAAAATCGAGAAATCCATTAACGAAGTCGAAAAATAGAGAAAACGAAGATGAAAACTCGAAAAATCCAAAAATCGAAAAATCGAGCAAACGAAAGATCGGAAAATCCAAAAATCGACAACTTCAAAATTTGCAAAATCCAGAAATCGAGTACTGGAAAATTTGGAAAATCCAAAAATCAAGAAAAATCGAAAAGTCAAAAATCGAACCTTTCAAGAAATTTCAAAAAAATCGAGAAATCGAAAATTTGAAGAATGGTTGGATTAATCGAAAAATCCAAAAATTGATAAATCGTAGTCAAAAAATCGAAAAAATTAAAATCGATAAATCCAACTGCAAAATCTAAAAATCAAGAAATCGGAAAGTCTAAAAATCGAGACATCAAAAAAAACCAAAAATTGAAAAATCGAGGAAATGAAAAATCATAAACTCGGAAAATCCAAAAATCGAAAGATCCAAAAATCAAAAAAATCGAAAACAGGTGAAATCTAAAAAATGAAGTGGAGGAATCCAAAAATCGGAAGTCGAAAATTCGGGAAATCCAAAAACCGAATAACGGAAATCCAAAAACCCAAAAATCCAAGAATGGCAAAATCGAGAACTCGTAAACGTAAATGTCGAAAAATCCAAAATGCGAAAATTCGAACATTTAAAAAATCAAAGTCAAAAATGGGGAAATCAAAAATCAAAAATTTAAAAATCGAAAAATCGAGAAATTGAAAAAACGAAATGGAAAAATCGAAAAATTGAACATTCGAAAAATCTAAAAGTCGGAAACTCCAAAAATCGGGAAATCGAACAGTCGAAAAATCGAGAAATCTAAAATCGAGAATTTGAAGAATAAATTGAAAAATCCATAAGTCGGAAACTTCAAAAATAAGGAAATCGAAAAGTTGAGAAATGGAGAAAACGGAGATGAAAACCGGAAAAATCGGAAAATCTAAAATTTGCAAAATCCAGAACTGGAAAATCCAAAAATCAAGAAATTGAGAGATTGAAAAATCGAAAAGTCGAAAATCGAAAATTTGAAGAATTATGGATTAATCGAAAAATCCAAAAATCAAAAAAATGAATATTCGGAAAATCGGGAAGTCCAAAAATCGAAAAATCAAGAAATGCAAAAATAGAAAGTCAAGTCGAAAAATTGAAAAATCGAAGTTGAACATTTGACAAATCGGAAAGTCAAAAAATCGAAAAATCCAAAAATCGAAAACAAGTAAAATGGAAAAATCTGAACAGCGAAAACGAACAATCCGAAAACCGAAACATTCAAAAATCGCAATCGAAAAATCCAAGAATCAAACATTCGAAAAATTGAAAAGTTCAAAAGTCGATAAATCGAAAAAACGAAACCAAAAAATCCAAAAATCGAATATTTGAAGAATCCATCGATAAATCAAGAAATCCAAAAATCGAGAAATCGAAAAAAGGAAGTCGAAAAATCTAAAAATTAAAAAGTTCAAAAATCGAAAAATGGTTACGCGGAAAAATCCAAAAATAAAAAAATTCAAAAATTCAAAAATCTAAAAATTGAAAATGCGAAGAATCGACTGAGAAAACCAAAAAACGAAACTGAAAAATCTAAAAATAGAAGTCGGAAGTCGAAATATCAAAAAATTGAAAAATCGAGAAACACATTTGAGTTGAAAAATCGAAAAATTAAAAAAAAACAAATTTTTCTAAAAAAAGAAAGTCAAAAAAATCTAAAAATCGAGGATTCGAAATCAGAAATTCCAAAAAATCGAGAAATCAAAAATTTGAAGAATCGATGGATAATCGAAAAATCCAAAAATAAGAAGCCGAATATTCGAAAAATCAAGAAATCGCAAAGCCAAAAAATCGAGACATCAAAGAAAACAATGTCGAAAAATCCAAAAGTTGGAAACTCCAAAAATCGGGAAATCGAAAAATGGAGGAATCGAACATTCGAAAAATTCAAAAATTGAAAAATCTGAAAATCGAGAAATGCAAAAAACAGAAGTCGAAAAAATGGAAAGTGGAAAAACCGAGGAATTGAGTATTCGAAAAATTCAACGATCGAGAAATCGAACAGTTGAAAAATCGAGAAATCTAAAAATCAAAGTCGAAAAATCCAGAGGTCGCAAAATGGACAAAATCAAATACTGAAAAATCGGAAACTGAAAATTGAAAAATCCAAAAACCAAAAAATCTCGAAAAATCAGTGTCAAAAAAATCCAAAAATCTATACCTAACTGGAAAAGTTGGAAAATCCAAAGATCGACATATTGAGAAATTGGAAAATCAAAAATCTAAAATTCAAAGCATCGATCGAAAAATTGGAAGGTCAAGAAATTTAAAAAGCCACATCGAAGAAGAGAAAACGAAAAATTGGAAAATTCCAAGAACCAACCCGAAAATTGAGCATTGAAAAATCTTAAAATCCAGAAGTCGAGGATGCAAAACATTCGAAAAGCTTTTAATCGAAAAATCGAGAAACTGAAAAATCTAAAAGTCGAAAATCGAAAATTCAAAGAATCGATCGAAAAATCAAAACGTCAAAAAATGGAGAAATCGAGAAAACAAAAAATCGAGAAATTGAAAACTGTAAGAATCCAAAAATGGTGAAATCGAAAAATAGAAAAAATGATAAAATCCAAATATAGAGAAATTGAAGGATACAAAAATTTTAAAATTAAAAAAATTAAAAATTGAACGAATAACAATTCAAAAATTGAAAACCTTATAATTAAAAACTTTTTCCACGTTTCAATTTTGACGTTATTTTGTAAGCTCGGACGCTCACTTGTCAACACGTGACCCGCACACGATCGCTCCATCTGTTCGGTAAACCCACTATAGTGGATGCGAAAATTTTATTCATTTGCATTTATTACAAAATAATGTGCAAAATTTGTGCAACGAAATACTCTCGTAGTCACACACATAATGGATCTAAATATACCCACAGTAGTCGTGAAGACAAGCTGCCACCTTCATCTACCTACATATAATATAACACCCACAAGTTTATTTGTGCTCTCATCGTCTAGCCTCTTAAACTCTTAACTAGAGCACGAAATTGTTATAATCATTACCTGTGAAAGTTTGCTGGACGTAGGCGTGCCGTCTAACTTGAACCGTCATTTTATGCCCCCTGTATTTACGATAAACCAGTAAAAGATCTAAAATTAAATCCACACCGTGGACGGGATCAAGCCGCCAGTACCCATACAGGATTTCCTTAAAATCTATAACCCGCCCTCTTTGTTTAGAGTACGAATTGATGACTTCCATTATCTGAAAAAAGAAAAAAAAAAAGAAACGTCAAGTACGGCCCATACGTCACACGATGCTTACGTCACGCACGACGTCGCTAAGGCCCTCCTTCAAACACGACCCGATGCGCCGTCGAGGGTTCAAGTCCCTCCAGGAGTAGAGCGTTTTCGATATCAGTTCCCAGTCTAGGACGTCGTCTACGTTTCTGGGTTGCTGTCGGGTTAGTCTTCCCGGTAAACCTGGAAAAAAAACTAAAGTAAAACAAAGAGTCGGTGTTTATTTTTGTAGTGGTGTCTGGGCCAAGAACATAAAGTCTTTTGTTTAATGGTTTAAATAGTTTGGATGTTTGTGTCTAGCGGGCAGTCATTGACTCGTGGGAGAAATATTTATTAGACAAAGGGGCCGCTTTCACAAGTGGAGGACTTTGCCGCTCACTAGGCGAAGTTTATTTTGTGGCATGGATTAGTTAATGTGTGGACCAATCACAGTGAGGTATATTGGCGGTAAATTCAAACTGATTTATGTTTTTTGTTTGTTTATATTGTGAAGCACCTATTTTTGAATTTTTAGAGATTCGGAAGTTTTTCGATTTATGTAATTCGAAAAATCAAAATTAATAAGATTTCCAGAACTGTTAAATTAAAAATTCAAAAAACTGAAAAATCGAAAAATTAAAAACAGACATTAAAAAACCGGAAATTGAAGTGAAAAATTGAAAGTTGAAAAACTGAGCAAGTTGGAAGTTGAAATATTGAAAAATTCAAAAATTTTGTAAATCGTATTACTGAAAAATCGAAAATTTAAAACAAAAAATCGAAAAATTTAAGAATCGACTGAAAAATTGAGAAACTGAAAAATTGAAAAGCTTAAAATCAAAAGAATGATTAATCGAAAAGTTAAAAAATTAAAAAATCGAAAAGTGGAAAAATAGAGCAATCAAAAGAATTAAAAAACAGAAGAATAAAAAATAAAAATTTGAGAAATCGAAAAATGGAAAAGTTCAAAAATCGATAAATCCAAAAATCAAAAAATCGATAAGCCGAAAAATCCCTCGAAAAATTAAAAAATCAAAATATCGAAAAACCCAAAAACCGATAAACCGAGAAATTGAAAAATCCAAAAATTCAGAAATCAAGAACTCGGAAAGTTGAAAAATCCAAAAATCGAGAAATCGAAAGTACGAAAAACCAAAAAATTAAAAAATCCAAAAATCGAAAATTTGAAGAAGCGATCGAAAAATCGAAACGTCAAAAAGTTGATAAATCCAAGTCGAGTCGAATAATCAAAATTCGAAAAATCGATAGATCGAGAAAATGAAAATCGGAAAGTCGAAACATCGAGAAGATGAAAAGTGGAAAAATCGGAAGAACCCAAAAACCGAAAATTCGAGTGATTGAAAAATCCAAAAATTGAGAAATCGAAAAGTAAGCAATAAGAAATTCAAAAATTGAAAAATCAAAAAATAGAAAAATCTGGAAGTCGAAAATTGCAAATCTGAAGAATCGATCGAAAAATCGAGAAATCCAAAAATCGGAAAATGGAGAAATCGAAAAAACGAAACGTCCAAAAACTGAATAATCCAAAAAATCCGAAAGTCAAAAAACCTAGAAATCGAGAATTCGAAATCAGAAAATCTAAAAAATCGAAAACTTGAATTAATCAAAAAACCCAGAAATCAAAAAACCGAATAATCGAAAAATCGAGAAGTCCAAACATCGAAAGAATAAAAATCGATAAATTCCAGTCGAAAAATCCAACTCAAAAGTCGAAAAATCAAGAAACCGGAAAGCCAAAAAATTGAGAAATAAAAAAAAGGAATCGAAAATCCAAAAATCGAAAAATCAAAAAAATCGAAAACAGTTGAAAAATCGAATTTGAAATTGAACACTTCAAACAATTTAAATCTTATTACTGAAAAATCGAAAATTTAAAACGAAAAAAGCGAAAAATTTTAAAAATTAACTGAAAAATGTTGAAATTGAAAAGCTTAAAATAAAAAAAATCAGTAATCGAAAAGCCGAAAAATCAAAACATCCAAAAATCGGAAAGTCTAAAAAGTGAGAAATCAAAATTTGAAAAATCGGAAAAACCCAAAAACCAAAACATCGAGAAATGAAAAATCCAAAAATTCAGAAATCAAGAACTCGGAAAGTTGTAAAATCCAAAAATCCAAAATTTGAAGAATCGATCGGAAAATCGAAACGTCAAAAAGTTGATAAATCCAAGTCGAAGAGTCGAATAATCAAAATTCGAAAAATCAAAAAATCGAGAAATCCAAAAATCGAAAAGTCAAAAAATTTTAAATCTTGAAGTCGAAAAATTTGAAAATCTGAAAATCGAAAAATGAAGAAATTGAAAAATCTAAAAGTCGAAAATCGAACGAAAAATCGAAACGTGAAAAATTGAAAAATCCAAGTTGAAGAGACGAAATATGAAAATTTGAAAAATCGAGAAACCGAAAAGATGAAAAATCGGACAGTCAAAACATTGAGAAATCGAAAAGTTGAAAAATCCAAAAATCCGGAAATCGAGAACTGGAAATTTGGAAAACCCAAGAATTGAGAAGGCGAAAAATCGAAAAGTCGAACAGTTAAAAAATCTAAAAACTGAATCGATCGCAAAATCGAGAAGTGGAGAAATCGAAAGGAAAAACAAAAAAAAAACAAAAATTAAAATATCGAGAAATTCAAAGAATAAAAAAATTGAAAATTCCAAAATTTCATGAAATAAAAAGTCGAAAGGGTGAGAATTTGAAAAATCGAAGTCGAGAAATTTAAAAATCAAACAGTTTAAAAAATCAAGAAATTGAAGATTCAAAAAGTTCGAAAGTAAAAAATTGAGAAAATGCAAATATCGAAAAATCTGAAAATTAAAAAATTTAGAACTCGAAAAATCGTAAAATTGTAAAATCGAAAAATTAAAAAAACCAAAAATCGAGAAATCGAGATATTGAAAATTCCAAACATCCAGACAACGAAAACTCGGAAAAGTTAGAAAATCCAAAAATCGAAAATTTAATCAATCGAAAAGTCGAATAGTGGAAAAATAAGGCAATCGAAAGAACCAAAAACCAAAAAAATCGAAAAATTAAAAAATCGAGAAATCCAAAAATCGAAAAAACTGAAAAATCTTGAAGTCGAAAAATTTGAAGAATCGATCGAAAAATCGAAAAGTCGAAAAATAGAAAAATCCAAGTCGAGATCAACATGCGAAAAGTCGAGAAATCGAAAAAACGACGCGTCCAAAAACTGAATAATCCAAAAAATCTGAAAGTCAAAAAACCTAGAAATCGAGAATTCGAAATCAGAAAATCCAAAAAATCGAAAATATTAATTAATCAAAGCATCCAGAAATCAAAAATCGAATATTCGAAAGAATTAAAATTGATAAAATTCAAGTCGAAAAATCAAGAAATCGGAAACTAAAAAAATTGAAAAATAAAAAAACGGAGTCGAAACTCCAAAAATCGAAAAAACAAGGTCAAGAAACCCAAAAATCGAAGTCAAAAATTGAGAAATCTAAAAATCCTACAATGGCAAAATCGAGAATTCGGTGAAGTCCAAAATGCGGGAAATCGGAATGTCAAAAAACCGAGAAATAGAACACTTTAAAAATCAAAAATAAAGAAATAGAACATTCGAAAAATCGAATAATCCAAAATTTGAAAAATATCTCCGAAAATAAAAAAAAGGAAAACTCAAAAATCGACAAATCGAAAAAACGAAGTCAAAAAATCTAAAAATCGAAATCAGAAATTCCAAAAAAAAAAATCGAATTTGTAATTGAAACAATTTAAATCTTATTACTGAAAAATAGAAAATTTAAAACGAAAAAAGCGAAAAATTTTAAAAATTTACTGAAAAATTTTGAAACTGAACAGCTTAAAATCAAAAAGTTCAGTAATCGAAAAGCCGAAAAATCAAAAAATCCAAAAATCAGAAAGACTAAAAACTGAAAAATAAAAATTTGAAAAATCGGAAAAAACCCAAAAACCAAAAAATCGAGAAATGAAAAATCCAAAAATTCAGAAATCAAGAACTCGGAAAGTTGGAAAAAACAAAAATCGAGAAATCGAAAGTACGAAAAACCAAAAAATTAAGAAACCCAAAAATCGAAAATTTGAAGAATCAAGCGAAAAACCGAAACGTCAAAAAGTCGATAAATTCAAGTAGAATAATCAAAATTCGAAAAATCGATAAATCCAGAAAATGAATATCGGGAAGTCGAAACATCGAGAAGATGAAAAGTGGAAAAATCGGAAGAACCCAAAAACCGAAAAATCGAGTGATTGAAAAATCCAAAAATTGAGAAATCGAAAAGTTAGCAATAGGAAATTCACAAATTGAAAAATCAAAAAATTGAAAAATCTCGAATTCGAAAATTTTGAGAATCTGGAAATCGAGAAATTAAAAAAACTAGAAGTCGAAAATCGAAAATTTGAAGAATCGATCGAAAAATCGAAAAATTGAAAGATCCAAACACCGAAAAATTAAGAAATTGAAAAATCCAAAAATCCAGAAATCGAGAACTCGGAAAAGTTGGAAAATCCAAAAATCGACAAAGCGAAACAACGAAAAACCAAAAAATCGAAAAGTCAAAAAACTGAAAAATCTTGAAGTCGAAAAATTTGAAAATCTGAAAATCGAAAATGAAGAAATTGAAAAATCTAAAAGTCGAAAATCGAAAATTTGAAGAATCGATCGAAAAATCGAAACGTGAAAAATTGAAAAATCCAAGTTGAAGAGACGAAATATGAAAATTCGAAAAATCGAGAAACCGAAAAGATGAAAAATCGGACAGTCGAAACATTGAAAAATCGAAAAATCGAGAATCTGAAAAATCCAAAAATCCGGAAATCGAGAACTGGAAATTTGGAAAATCCAAAAATTGAGAAAGCGAAAAAACGAAAAGTCGAACAGTCAAAAAATCTAAAAACTGAATCAATCGAAAAATCGAAAAGTGGAGAAATCGAAAGGAAAAACAAAACAAAAAAACAAAAATTAAAATATCGAGAAATTCAAAGAGTAGAAAAGTTGAAAATTACAAAATTTAATGAAATAAAAAGTGGAAAGGGCGAGAATTTGAAAATTCGAAAAGTTCAAAAATTTAGAACTCGAAAATTCGAAGGCTCAAAAAAATGAAAAATCTAAAATCCAAACAGTGAAAAACTGAGTAATCGAAAAGTCGAATAATCAAAAAAGTGCAAAAATCGAAAAATTTAAAAGTCAAAAATCGAAAATTTGAAGAATCAATAAAAAAATCGAAAGGTCGAAAAATCGGGAAAACCCAAAAACCAAAAAATCGAGACACTGAAAAATCCAAAAATCCAGACATCGAAAACTCGGAAAAGTTGGAAAATTCAAAAATCGAAAATTGGATCAATCGAAAAGTCGAATTGTGGAAAAATAGTCGAAAGAACCAAAAACCAAAAAAGTCGAAACATTCGAAAATCTGAAAATTGAAAAATTAAGAAACTAAAAAATCTAAAAGTCGAAAATTGAAACTTTGAAGAATCGACCGAAAAATCGAAAGGTCGAAAAATCGGAAAAACCCAAAAACCGAGAAATCAAGAAATTGAAAAATCCAAAAATCCAAACTGAAAAATCGAAATACCGAAAAATCAAAAAGTCGAACAATCTAAAAATCGAAAAATGGAATCAATCGAAAAAACGAAAAATTTGAAGAATCGATCGAAAAATAAATAGCGAAGTCAAAAATCGAAAATTTTAAGAATCGATCGGAAAATCGAAAGGTCAAAAAAATCTGGAAAACCCAAAATTGAAAAATCCAGAAATCGAGAACTTCGAAAAATTGAAAAATGGAAAAATCCAAGTCAAAAAATTGGAAAAACAAAACGCGAAAAATCCAGTAAATGAAAAATCCAAAAATGCAGAAATCGACAACTTGAAAAGTTGGAAAATCCAAAAATCGAAAAATGGAAAAATTGAGATATCAAGAAATTGGAAAATCAAAATATTGAAAAAGCAAAAAATTAAATCTAGCTCAAAAAGTTGAATAAATACAAAACTGAAAAATTTTAGGCTCAACATTTAAAAAAAATGAAAAATTGGAAAATTTTAAATTGAACATGAAAAATGGAGAAATTGAAAAATTAAAAAAAATAGAAACTGAACACTCGAAATAATGCAAAACAAAAAATTAAAAGCGAAAAATTGAAGACACAAAAATTACAAAATTGGAAACTTAAAAATTTTTAATAATAATAACAAAATTCGAATTCAGCGCCGAAGCGCTTCCTTGCGATTGGTCGCCACACAACCAACCCCATTTAGTGCCCCAACCCCGCCATCCACCAAAACCCGAAACCCCTCCTCCGTCCAAACTTTCTCCCACAATTTGCAATTCGTGAGAACCCAAACCGACAACGTCAACAAAGATTACAATGACGCAAGTGCATGCTAACAAATGACCCTTACGACCATCCATTGAATAATCGTGAATCATAATCTCGTCGCGGAAAAGACCGGTTACATAAGTAGGTTATGCAGTTGCAATAACGGTTGACGGATCCCAACGAAATAAAAACCCGTAGCGCGCTCTTATTAATCCCGTTTCCATCAAGAACCAGTATACACACCCAGCAAACTCGTGTCCCCTAGATATTTCTCCGACCCCCTACTTTCCGGAAACAGGGGCAAACCTTCCACCAGACTCGCATTCTGCAGATTCCGGATCCTGAACCCTAGCTCCTCCATAGAAGCCGCGATGTCTCTATGTAGCTCTATCTTCTCCTGCTGGTAACTCTGGACCTGAAGCGCCTGAAAAAACGCACACGTCAAAGGTTTTTGTTTAGTAATGGTTCTCAAGGTTTGTTTTTATTGTCGTACTGGTTTGTAGAAGACAAGGTTATTCGTGGTACTGGGTGTTTGAAATTCCGTTCGCGTATATTGTTGTAGGTTGCGGAGAGGAAGCGTCTTAATTTAAGTGGAACCAAACAGAAAATATACACGACCTAGTTGCGGCGTTTATTTGCAATTAGACGCTATAGGTGGTTCGATTTATCGCCGAATCGGATTACGAAAATCGTAATGATATTAATGATGGTGTTTACTTTTTTAAGCGAAACGTTGGACGCACCGTACTTCCGCATTAAGTCAATAAAAAATAACTATATAGCATGAAATTGATGCCAACGGTTTCCTGTTCGCAGCGCAAATGAAATAAATATAAATTACCCCTTTAATAGAACAATGACCGGCAGCTTAACACATAAAACCGATTTTTATGTGATAGGATAAATAAATCATGATCTTTTAAATGATATAATCGCATTTTTAACTAGGTGATGGACGTGGCCTTATTTCGTTAAACGAAATACGATGACAGGTGACACTAATAAGTAATAAGTGAGGTTAGGTGGTGCGAACGAACGCACTATAGATTTTTTCCTTGAAAGAACGACGCATTTGCGTAACGGTAGTACTAGTAAGTGTACTAATTATGTATGATAATTGATAATTCCCAGAGGAAGGATAATAGTTCGCATGACGCAGATAATAGACGGAAAAAAGACGTGTGAATTGCATGAATATATACAGCGAGTTAATAATGATGTTCCAGCTTTTTAAATAACTTATTTTGAGGATGTGAGTGGCGGTGTTTATTTTTCCAAGAACGTAATTCTGGTTTGACAAATACAACGTTTTTTACGCGCTGTTTGTGTATTTTCTTAATGCAAAAATTAGATCGACGCAGCTTTGTCATCTTGTAAAGCAATTAAGTTAAGTTCAGAATAAACAATGACGTCGCTGGATAAAGCGAACTGTGACAGAGGTTTTTTCGTGTGAAAATTTTTTAGTGATTGGTAATGTTAATTTTGTGGTCGACTTGTTGCGAAATTTAGAAAAAAAAAAAGGTCGGGAAAAGAAAATAAAACTTGAAGAAGCAGGAAATCGACGACACGAAAGTTATTTGTTTTATCACCTTTAGTTTTCCGATTTTTTAACCTTTTAATTTTTGAAAAATGAAAAATCGAAAAATGGAATCGGAAGTTACAAAATTTAAGGGACCCCGTGATTTTTTCGCTCCCTTAAACTTCGCAAACTTAAAAATTGGACACTAGGTGAGATTCCTTCTCACTAAAAGAGATTTTTGAAAATTCTCCCAAAAAGGGCATTAGCACCCTTAAGGTTCTTGTAAATCCCCTCCAAAAAAAAGATACTAGGACCCCTGAGATTCTTTAAAATTCCGTCCAAAAATTCCTGTAAATCCTTTCAAAAAAAAAGGATACTTGGGGCTCCCGAAATTCTTCTAAATTCATCCACAAAAAGGACACTAGTTTCTTTTAAACTTTCCCAACCTCCAACCCCCCAAAGTCCTCGGAGATTCTCATAAATTCCTCCAAAAAGACACTTCTCCCCCCAGATTCTTGTAACTTCCTCCAAAAACAGGCGAACCCCTCCATTCTTCTAAATTTTTCAAAAAAATGATTTTAGGGACCTCCAAGGTTCTTTTAAATTCGTCCCAAAAAATACACTAGGGACCTCACTACTAAATATTTTTCAAAATCAAAACTACCAGAGGCTCTAAAATTAAAAGATAATATTAGAAATGTCGAAATTTTTTCAATTTTTTTCAGTCCCTTTGAGAGATTCTTTTAAATTTCCTCCAAAAAGGACACCAAGCGTCCCCAAGATTCTTGAAAATTTTTCTAAAAAAACGACACTGATAACCCCTGAAATTTTTTTAAATTCCTCAAAAAAAAAAACACTACTAACGATCTTTTTAAATTCTTAAAAAGGATATTAGGACCCAACAGTTTTTTGGTATTCTTAAATAAAAAGACACTCCTCCCCCCAGATTCTTGTAACTTTTTCCAAAAAAAGGCGACGCCCCCCATTCTTCTAAATTTCTCAAAACAATGATTTTAGGGACCTCCAAGGTTCTTTTAAATTCCTCCCAAAAAATACACTAGGGACCTCACTACTAAATATTTTTCAAAATCAAAACTACCAGGGGCTCTAAAATTTAAAGACAATATTAGAAATGTGGAAATTTTTTCAATTTTTTTCAGTCCCTTTGAGAGATTCTTTTAAATTTCCTCCAAAAAGGACACCAAGCGTCCCCAAGATTTTTGAAAATTTTTCTAAAAAAACGACACTGATAACCCCCGAAATTTTTCTAAATTCCTCAAAAAAAAAACACTACTAACGATTCTTTTAAATTCTTAAAAATGATATTAGGACCCAACATTTTTTTGGTTTTCTTAAATAAAAAGACACTAGAAGTCCCCGATATTCTTCCATATTTTTAAAAAAGAGGACACTAAGGACCTCCAAAATTCGTCAAAATTCATTAAAAGCCTCTGGGGACCCCCAAGAATCTTTAAAATTCTTTCAGATCCAAAGCACCTAACACTCTTAATTCTTAAAAAAGGCTCCAAGATTCTTTCAAATGTTTTCAAAAATACAACGGCAAGGGCACCCAAGTTTTCCTAACATTCTTAAAAAGACGACACAAAGGACCCTAAGATTTTTTCAACCTTTGATTTTTCCTTTCCTACATCACAAACTTTTGAGTTCACATTTTTTTGAGATTTTAATAATTGGTTTTTTCAATTTTTCGATTTTTCAGTTTTTCAATTTTTAATTTTTCGAGAAGAAATTTTTCAATTCTTCCATTTTTCGTTTATTTAATTTTATAATTTTATAATCTGTGTTTCATCAGTTTTTGGTTTTTCAATTTCTCAATTTTTCGTTTCAAAATTCGGATTTGCCAATTTTCGAGGTTTTAACTTTGAATTTTTCAACTCTGTAATTTTCGACAAATTTCAAATCAAAAAACTGTAAAATCGAAAATTGCCAAATAAAAATGTGGAATAGATAATTAAAACACCGCGAAAATCCAAACAAAAAAAAACTGGAAGTCCCTGAGATTCTTTTAAATTCCTCCAAAAAAACAAAGGATCCCAACGATTTTTCAAATAAAAAGACAGTAGGGACCCCCGAGATTCTTGCAAATTCTTTCAAAAAAGGACACTTAGGGTCCCTGAGATTCGTTTAAACTCCTCCAAAAAAAAAAGACACTAGGAGACCCCTAGATGCTTTTAAATTCCTTCCAAAAAAAAGACACTAGGGGTCCATGAGATTCGTCTAAATTCCTCCAAAAAGACTCTAGGGACCCCCAAGATTCTTTTAAATTCCCACCAAAAATTCACTCGGGACCTCGCTAAATATTTTCAAAACCAAAACTATCGAGGGTTCTCAAAAAAAAACTGCCGAAATTTTTTCAAATGTTTTCAGTCCCCCCTAAGATTCTTGTAAATTCTCTCAAAAAAGACACAAAGCGTCCCAAAGATTCTTGAAAATTCCTCCAAAAAAAAACACGATTGGCCCTCAAGATACTTTAAAAATTTTTCAAATTAAAAATACAGTAGGAACCCCGAGATTCTTGTAAATCCTTCCAAAATAAGGACACCAAGAGCCCTCGAGATACTTTTAACTTCCCTTCAAAACAAAGATACTATGGGCCCCCGAGATTCTTACAAATTCTTTCAAAAAAGGACACTTTGGGCCCCTGAGATTCGTCTAGATTCCTTCAAAAAAGACACTAGGAGATCTCTAGATTCTTTTAAATTCCCTCCAAAAAAAGGCACTAGGGGACCCGAGATTCTTGTAAATTCTCCCCAAAAAGTACCTTAAAAACCCCTGAGATTCTTGTACATTTTCCCCTCAAAATTCTTTTAAATTCCCCGAAAAAGAGATACGAACCCCCCCCCCCCCCCAGACTATTAAAATTTTTTCCAAAAACAGAAAAAAAAGACTGGGAGTCCCTGAGATTCTTTTAAATTCATCCAAAAAAACAAAGGACTCTCGAGATTCTTGCAAATTCTTTCAAAAAAGGACACTTGGGGCCTCTGAGATTCGTCTAAATTCCTCCAAAAAAAGACACTAGGAGATTATAAATTCTTTTAAATCCCCTCCAAAAAAAGACATTACAAACCCCCGAAATTCTTGCAAAATCTTTCAAAAAAGGAACTTGGGATCCCTAAGATTCGTCTAAACTCCTCCAAAAAAGACACTAGGAGAGCTATAGATTCTTTTAAATTCCCTCCAAAAAATTAGAAGCCCCTGAGATTCCTGTAAATTCTTTCCCTAAAGAAAAACCAGTGCCCCACAAAATTCTTTTAAATTCCTCCAAAACAACAAAGGATCCTAGAGATTTTTCAAATAAAAAAAGACAGTAGGGACCCCCGACATTGTTGCAAATTCTTTCAAAAAAGGACACTTAGGGTCCCTGATATTCGTCTAAACTCCTCAAAAAAAAAAACACTAGGAGACCCCTAGATTCTTTTAAATTCCTTCCAAAAAAAGACACTAGGGGACGGGAGATTCGTCTAAATTCCTCCAAAAAGACTCTAGGGACCCCCAGGAAACCTCCAGATTCTTTTAAATTCACTCCAAAAAAGACACTAGGGGACCCGAGATTCTTGTAAATTCCCCCCAAAAAATAGCTTAAAAACCCCTGAGATTCTTGTATATTCTCTCCTCAAAATTCTTTTAAATTCCTCCCAAAAAGGGAGACGATGGGCTTCCTCCAAAAAAGACACTAGGAGAGCTATAGATTCTTTTAAATTCCCTCCAAAAAATTAGAAGCCCCTAAGATTCCTGTAAATTCTTTCCCTAAAGAAAAACTAGTGCCCCACAAAAAAGGCACAAAGCGTCCCAAAGATTCTTGAAAATTCCTCCAAAAAAAGGACACGAATGGCCCTCAAGATACTTTAAAATTTGTCAAATTAAAAGTACAGTGGGGACCCCGAGATTCTTGTAAATCCTTCCAACATAAGGACACCAGGAGATTCTTACAAATTCTTTCAAAAAAGGACACTTTGGGTCCTTGAGATTCGTCTAAATTCCTTCAAAAAAAAGACACTAGGAAACCTCCAGATTCTTTTAAATTCCCTCCAAAAAAAGACACTAGGGGACCCGAGATTCTTGTAAATTCCCCCCAAAAAATAGCTTAAAAACCCCTGAAATTCTTGTATATTCTCTCCTCAAATTTTTTTTAAATTCCTCCCAAAAAGGGACACGAAGGGCTTCCGAGATTCTTTTAAATTCTTCCAAAAAAGGACACCAGGGGCCCTCGAGATTCTTTTAACTTCCCTTAAAAAACATCACTAGGGCCCCCCGAGATTCTTGCAAATTTTTTCAAAAAAGGACACTTAGGGTCCCTGATATTCGTCTAAACTCCTCAAAAAAAAAAAACACTAGGAGACCCCTAGGTTCTTTTAAATTCCTTCCAAAAAAGACACTAGGGGACCGGAGATTCGTCTAAATTCCTCCAAAAAGACTCTAGGGACCCCCAAGATTCTTTTAAATTCCCCCCAAAAAATGCACTCGAGGCTTCGCTAAATATTTTCAAAACCAAAACTATCGAGGGTTCTCAAAAAAAAAAAAGAATTGCCGAAATTTTTTCAAATGCTTTCAGTCCCCCCTAAAAATTCTTTTAAATGTCCCTCAAAAAAAAAGACACTAGGGGACCCGAGATTCTTGTAAATTCCCGCCAAAAATACCTTAAAAACCCCTGAGATTCCCCTCAAAATTCTTTTAAATTCTCCCAAAAAGGGACACGAAGCCCCCCCGAGACTATTAAAAATTTTTCCAAAAAAAGAAAAAAAACAACACGAGGGGCTCTAGATTCTTTTAAATTCTTCAAAAAAAGACACTGGGAGTCCTTGAGATTCTTTTAAATTCCTCCAAAAAAAACAAAGGACCCCCGAGATTCTTGTAAATCCTTCCAAAAAAGGACACCAGGGGCCCTCGAGATTCTTGCAAATTCTTTCAAAAAAGGACACTTGGGGCCTGAGATTCGTCTAAATTCCTCCAAAAAAAGACACTAGGAGATTATAGATTTTTTTAAATCCCCTCCAAAAAAAGACATTACAAGCCTTCGAAATTCTTGCAAAATCTTTCAAAAAAGGAACTTGGGACCCCTAAGATTCGTCTAAATTCCTCCAAAAAGACACTAGGAGAGCTATAGATTCTTTTAAATTCCCTCAATTTCCCTAAAGAAGAACTAGTGCCCCACAAAATTCTTTTAAATTCCCCCAAAAAGGGACACGAAGTCCCCGAGATTCCTTAAAATTCCCAAAAAAAAAAAAAAAAGAACACAAGAGGCCCTCGAGATTCTTTTAAATTCTCTCAAAAAAACACACTGTCAATCCCTGAGCTTCTTTTAAATTCCTCCAAAATAGGCACTGGGAACCCCTGAGATTCTCTTAAATTCCTCCAAAAAAACAAAGGATCCCAGAGGTTTTTCAAATAAAAAAAGACAGTAGGGACCCCAAATATTCTTTTGCATTCTTAAAAAAAGACACTAGGGACTCCTAAGATTCTTTAAAATTCATTAAATTAATTAAATAAAGCCACTGGGCTTCAAGAATATTTCAAATTCTTAAAAAAAAAAAACAAAAAAACTTCTTTGAAGTTATAAAAAAAAAACATCGCGATTCAAAATGTTTTTTTGGATTCTTAAAAAAGAAAACAGACACCATGGTCCCCCGGGTTTTTTTTAGAATTCTTAGAAAAGGCCATTATGGACCCCCAAACGTCAGATACCAAAATTATTTTAAAATCCTAAAAAAAAAGAAGAAATTGGGACACCACGATCTCTTTAAATTTTTTCAAAAATAAAACATCGAAAAGCCCCAGGTTATTAAAAATTCTTTGAAAGGGCTGAACAACCTCATGATTTTTTTTTTTTATAAAATATATAAAATAACAAAATTGATTTATATATCTTTTCAACTCCTTAATACATATTGATTGTTTGTTTCTACAATAAAACACTAAATTCTGCCGATTTTGTCTTTTCAAGATAAATTTCCATTTTTTGTCAAATTTTGAATTACCTAGTAGTTGGATCAAGTCAAAATTCAACCGAAAATAACCAAAACCACCCGAAATTCGCCAACCAGCGTGTTCCCCAGCAACCCGCAAATATTTCTACGTCTGTGAACCTCGAACTAAACCATTAACTTGTAAAGTTAATGATCATTGCAACTGCCTGACAATAAAACGAAATCGGCGTTCAGCTACTGAAAAAATCCGCTATCAATTACGTAAGCTGTAAACTTTAGTGGTGTTCTTGACGTACCAATTGAGTGAATAGATCGTAAACCGAAAATAGTTTATAAATACAGGAAAAAGGATCGCAAACTTGTGTAAATACAACCACAGAAATATAATAAAAAAAGAGATTGCTTTATGACGCATGTATCTACATTTATGTAGTCATAAAGTACCGTGCTAACTAACAGATATATTTATTTACTCTCGATTTAATATATTTATTTTTGCTTTTACAACTTTCTAATAATCCTGTATGTATACTTGGCCTACTGCGATGCATCGTTGCGAAAGCGCAATTTTTCGAAAATTTTAAATGAATTTAGGGCGAGTCTGACCAATTTATTGTTATTGCCTCCCATGGGCCCCCGGGAAATTCCGGCTCAATTACGCCTCTTTCAACGAGTTCCAATAAAAACTAGCCCAATTTCCCCGAGCCGGCGAGTCTTCGAACAAGACGTATTATTAACGGTGTTAGTTCGAGCATACGCAAATTGCAGGAAAAATACCAACCTTGACGTATTTATCCAGCCTGTACATGTGCCTTGGTTGTTTGACTGGGTGTAGAGTGATGGCCCGATGGACTTCCTTCTGTTTCAAGTCGCCCGTGAATGCCGCCTGCCCACTTTGGTTGTGGTACAATATGACTTGCATCTGTTGAAGAAGCAGACGAAATTTAATAGAGGCTTGATGAATTCAGGGTCTAAATGATTACTTCATTAGGTTTCGACATGGGAAAGTCGTATTGATTTATTGTTTTAGCGCTGTGGAGGAGACGTGTCGTACTGGAGGTACGAGTGGAGATCGGTGAGAGAAGTTGCCGTTTTGGGGCTTGGGAGGAAATGTAGCATGACTCACCTCCAGACGGCGCGGGAGGTTATGTCGTTTTTTCCGCAACCGCGGCGAATCCAGTTGTTCGGTTCATCGATTTTTTAGTTTATTGTCTATTTTGATTTTTGTGTTTTCTATTTCAAATTTTGAATTTGTCAACTTTCACTTCTTCAATTTTTCATTTTGCAAGTTTTCGATTTTTCAGTTTCTCGATTTTTAATTTTTCGAAATTTAAACTGCTGATTTCTTTTCAGTTTTTTAATTTTTCGTTTCTTCAATTTTTCGATTTCTTAATTTTTGAATTTTGGAATTACTGAAAAGTTCAAAAGTTGGAAAATTGCAAAGTTTCAAATTGAAGATCTGAAAAATTGCAAATCGAGAATCTGAATCACCGAAAACTTGAACAATCTGAAATCGAAAATTTGAAAGTCCAAAAATTTCAAATTAAGAAACCGAAAAACGTAAAACAAAAAAAAATTGGGAACCTGAAATATCGAAAAATTGAAAGAGTGAAAATTGAAAAATCGGAAAAAACTAAGAAATGAAAAATTAAACAATTCAGATGACGAGTTTTCAACTTATTGATTTGCAATTTTTCAATCTTACAACTTTTCGTTTTTTCAATTTATCCATTTTTAGATCCCAATATTTAAATTTCTCGATTTTTAATTTTTCATTTTTCAGTTTCACGATTTTCAGTTGTTCGCTTTTTGTTTCTCGATTTTTAATTTTTCGAATTTTTTTGTCAATTTTTGAATTTTTCGTTTCTTCAATTTTTCGATTTTTCAATTTCTGAATTTTCGGATAACTTAAAAATTCAAAAGCTGGAAAAGCGTAAATTTTCAATTCCGAAATCGAAAAATTGGGAACCTGAAATATCGGAAAACTGAAGAAGTGAAAATTGAAAAATCGGACAAACAAGAAGAAATGAAAAATTGAAAAATTCAAAACACGAAAAATTCCGTCCTTTTTTGTTTCAATTTTTCAGCTTTTCGAGTTTTCAAGTTATTGGTTTGAATTTTTCAGTTTTACATTTATAACTTCGAGTTTTTAGTTCTAAATTCAACTTTCGAAATTTTCAGTTTCTAGATTTTTCAATGTCTCCATTTGCAATTTTTGACATTTTACAAGTTTTCGTTGTTTCAATTTATTCATATTTTCGTTCCCCAATTATTAAATTTCTCGATTTTTAATTTTTCATTTTTCGGTTTCTCGATATTTTATTTTTATATTTATCAGTTTTTCAATTTTTAATTTCTAGATTTTCCAATTTTCATCATTTCATTTTCCACCATGCGAATTTTTGAGTTTGCAATTCTACGATTTTTCAATACTTCGATTAAATTTTTTTCTATTTTTTCATTTTTGACATACATATTTCAATTTTTCGTGTGTCCTATTTTTCGGTCCTTTGATTTTAATTTTTTGATTTTTCTGTTTTTCAAATTTATTTTGCGATTTTTCAATTTCTAGATGGCTATTTTAATTGCTCGATTTTTCAATTTTTCCATTTTATAATTTTCAGTTTTTATAATGCAATTTTTTGAGTTTTCAATTTTTTGGTTTTTCAATTTTTCGATTTTTAGTTTCTCGATTTTTCAATTTCTACTATGCAAATTTTGAGTATACAATTTTGAGATTTTTCAATATTTCGGTTTGCAATTTTTCTATTTTTCAATCTCTAAATACATATTTAAATTTTTCGTGTGTCTTTTTTTTAGATTTTTCAGTTTCTCGATTTTAATTTTTTTTTATTTTTCAGTTTTTTCATTTTTATTTTCGGATTTCTCAAATTCTAAATATTTTAATTTCTTGATTTTTCCATTTTTAGATTTTTCCATTTTTAGATTTTTCCATTTTCTAATTTTCAGTTTTTGAATGCACAATTCTAGATATTAAAATTTTTCGTTTTTTCAGTAATTAGATTTTCACGTTTTCAATTTTTTGGGTTTCAATTTTTCGTTTTTCAATTTATTGACTTTCCAGTTTTGATTTGGAATTTTTCGATTTTTCAATTTCACGAATTTTGTATTTTTTTTTCAGTTTTACAATTTTTATTTTCAGATTTTTCAATTTCTAAATATTTTAATTTCTTGATTTTTCCATTTTTAGATTTTTCCATTTTCTAGTTTTCAGTTTTTGAATGCAAATTTTTGAGTTTTCAATTTTTTGATTTTTCAATTTTTCGATTTTTCAATTTCTAGATTTTTAAATTTTGTGATTTTTCAGTTTCTCAATTTTTAATTTTTCGATTTTTCAAAATGTCAATTTTTTTAATTTTAATTTTTGGTTTTTTGAATTTTTTGGTTTTTTTACTTTTCGTTTTTTCAATCTCTAGATACATATATGTATTTAAAATTTTCGTTTGTTCTATTTTTCGATTTTTCAATTCCTAGATTTTTTAATTTTTTGATTTTCTAGTTTCTCATTTTGATTTTGATTTTTCAGTTTTTCCATTTGCAGTTTTAAAATCCTCCATTTTTTTGTTACAATTTTTCGATTTTTAATTTTTAGATAATAAAATTTTTCGCTTTTTCAGTAATTAGATTTTCGAGTTTTAAATTTTTTGGGTTTCAATTTTTCGATTTACAATTTCTCGACTTTCCAATTTTGATTTCGAATTTTTCGATTTTTCAATTTCCCGATTTTTGTATTTTTTTTTAGTTTTACAATTTTTATTTTCAGATTTTTCAATTTCGAAATATTTTAATTTCTTGATTTTTCCATTTTTAGATTTTTCCATTTTCTAGTTTTTAGTTTTTGAATGCAAATTTTTGAGTTTTCAATTTTTTGGTCTTTCAATTTTTCGATTTTTCAATTTCTAGATTTTTAAATTTTGTGATTTTTCAGTTTCTCAATTTTTAATTTTTCGATTTTTCAAAATGTCAATTTTTTTATATTTTAATTTTTGGTTTTTTGAATTTTTTGGTTTTTCTACTTTTCGATTTTTCAATTTCTAGATACATATATGTATTTAAAATTTTCGTTTGTTCTATTTTTCGATTTTTCAGTTTTTCGATTTGCAGTTTTAAAATTCTCCATTTTTTTGTTACAATTTTTCGATTTTTAATTTCTAGAAATTAAAATTTTTCGTTTTTTCAGTAATTAGATTTTCGAGTTTTCAATTTTTTGGGTTTCAATTTTTCGATTTTCAATTCCTCGACTTTCCTATTTTGATTCGGAATTTTTCGATTTTTCAATTTCCCGATTTTTGTATTTCTTTTTTCAGTTTTACAATTTTTATTTTCAGATTTTTCAATTTCTAAATATTTTAATTTCTTGATTTTTCCATTTTTAGATTTTTCCATTTTCTAGTTTTTAGTTTTTGAATGCAAATTTTTGAGTTTTCAATTTTTTGGTCTTTCAATTTTTCGATTTTTCAATTTCTAGATTTTTAAATTTTGTGATTTTTCAGTTTCTCAATTTTTAATTTTTCGATTTTTCAAAATGTCAATTTTTTTATATTTTAATTTTTGGTTTTTTGAATTTTTTGGTTTTTCTACTTTTCGATTTTTCAATTTCTAGATACATATATGTATTTAAAATTTTCGTTTGTTCTATTTTTCGATTTTTCAGTTTTTCGATTTGCAGTTTTAAAATTCTCCATTTTTTTGTTACAATTTTTCGATTTTTAATTTATAGATATTAAAATTTTTCGTTTTTTCAGTAATTAGATTTTCGAGTTTTCAATTTTTTGGGTTTCAATTTTTCGATTTTCAATTTCTCGACTTTCCAATTTTGATTTGGAATTTTTCGATTTTTCAATTTCCCGATTTTTGTATTTTTTTTTCAGTTTTACAATTTTTATTTTCAGATTTTTCAATTTCTAAATATTTTAATTTCTTGATTTTTCCATTTTTAGATTTTTCCATTTTCTAGTTTTCAGTTTTCGAATGCAAATTTTTGAGTTTTCAATTTTTCAATTTTTCGATTTCTCAATTTCTAGATTTTTAAATTTTGTGATTTTTCAGTTTCTCAATTTTTAATTTTTCGATTTTTCAAAATGTCAATTTTTTTATATTTTGATTTTTGGTATTTTGAATTTTTTGGTTGTTCTATTTTTCGATTTTTCAGTTCCTCGATTTTTTAATTTTTTGATTTTCCAGTTTCTCATTTTGATTTTTGATTTTTCAGTTTTTCGATTTGCAGTTTTAAAATTCTCCATTTTTTTGTTACAATTTTTCGATTTTTAATTTCTAGATATTAAAATTTTTTTTTTTTCAGTAATTAGATTTTCGAGTTTTCAATTTTTTGGGTTTCAATTTTTCGATTTTCAATTTCTCGGCTTTCCAATTTTGATTTGGAATTTTTCGATTTTTTGAGTTCTCGATTTTTAATTTTTTGATTTTCTAGTTTCTCATTTTGATTTTTGATTTTTCAATTTTTTTATTTGCAGTTTTAAAATTTTCAATTTTTTGGTTTTTCAGTTTTTCGATTTTCAGTTTTTTCACTTTTCAATATTTGATTTGCAATTTTTGATTTTTCGTTTGTTCGGTTTTTTATTTTTTGATTTTCCAGTTTTAAAATTCTCAAGTTTGCAATTTTTCGATTTTTCAGTTTATAGATATTTAAATTTTTCGCTTTTCCTATTTTTGGATTTTTTTATTGTTCCATTTTTAATTTTTTCAGTTTCTCAATTTTCTAATTTTTCGAGTCTGAATCTTTTGAATTTTTTCATTTATTTATTTATTTTTTAATTTTAGAAGAATTTCAATTTTTCAGTTTTTCCGATGTTTCAATGTGTGGGTAAGCTAATTTTTCGTTTTTTCATTTCCTCAAATTTCTGTCTTTCGATTTTTCAACTTTTTAATTTTTTAATTTTT